AATTTATCCTCGAAGCACTTTCTGACTTCTCCAGGAGTCTTTCTAGAAGTCTAGATCTACATAGATCAAATTTACCAGGAATGGTTTCTTGGTTCGCATACTCTATTTTCAGTAAAAATTTATATAGTTAACTATAGTTAGCATGCATTTTTTCAGGAAATTAATGGGAATCGTTTCCCTGGATGTTTGCAATTTGAGCAGCTCCACGCCAAATGACGAATCGATGTAATGTCGGCCTAAATGCCCCTAATTTGGGCTCATACATAAATTCAGCAATTTACTATATTTTCAATAGCGACCAAAAATATCCATTTGTACCGTCCCAATGACGCATTCATCTAGATAAAATTGATAAACAGCAGATGTTTAGCGATGGGCCCAATACTAAATCCATTGGCCAACATTAGAGCCATTTTCCCTATTTATTTATTATTCATTCCTTTATTTAACGTCGGTCTCTGTTCCGCAATCTAGTGCCAATCACCGACGGACATCGATTGCCATCCATTGACGGCAATCGAATGTGCAGGAAGGCAGCTTCCACACCTGCGTAGGATATCGCACCCATTCAACACACATGGGCCGGGACCAAAGGCTTTACTTCCCTTCCGAAGGAAGACGTGACCAGAGATTTTTATGCCTCAGAAAAATTCTACCGACCTCGGCTGGGATTGAACCCAGACCCATTGGGATGTTAGAAAGCAGTCACGCTTACCACTGCACCACCGGCGCCGGCTTTTATTTATTTATTTATTATTGGCAATCATTAATTTTTTTTACTAAAATTCACCATTTGTTTTTTTAATAGCTTTTTTTAACATTTTTTTATATAATGTAGCACATAAACGTCATTTCTGATCGAAATAAACCCAAGCCAAAGTTGTAGGGAAAAATAATGTATTTTTAGAAAAAAAAAGATGCAAGGTAATTATTTAAGCAATTTTAAAGAAAATTAAAAAGGTGATATAAACTTTAATATCTTCAAATGTCCTCATTCAATTTTTTAAATTTTTTTTTTTAACTTTTGGAATGTTCAAAACTATGGCCAAAAATCGTAGAACAAGAACTTTTGGTAAATTTTTTAAACTTTTTGTTAATACGGTTTTTGATGTAATTTTTACACAGGAAACAATGTTTCCTATGAAAAAATAACATTAATAACACTAACAAACATTTGACCAAAAGTTTTTGTTCTACGATTTTTGTGAATTTTAAAGTGTTCATTGTTTTAAAATTTCAAAAGTATGCATTTTCATTAGATTTAAACAAATATTAAATTTTAAACATTGAGTAAGGACATTTTTAGCTACTAAAATTTTTAACAATTTTTTAGAAATTTTTGCTAAAATTGAACCCAGGCATGCTGGGGTGAGAGGTAATCACGCTTACCACTACACCACCGGCGCTGCTATATTTTAAGTAGTTATCTCTATATATTTTGTAAAATATATATCTTTTAATAAGTAAATATAAATTGGTAGTGATTGATTCAACGAGTAAACCGTATAAACACCAAACTGTCCGTAATTAGGCACTGTTCAACTTATGGTGCTTGCACAGTATAAGTACTCTAACTCTACTCTAACTAAATTTACACATGTTGGAATTAATATTTTACATGAAGTATAGAACGTAACGCATTCATCTCATATAAATTATTATCACCGAAATTAACATGAGATTTTCTCAGTGTACACACCTAAATTTTGTTGCCGAGATTCCAACAGTCGAGTAGTTATGCAATTAATTTTGCTTAGATTCAGTAAAACGATGCACGAAAGGAAATGATTTCTGCACATTTTGGCCATCAGATGTCACTACTGTTGTTGGTGGCGATATCTTTTTTTATTAATATTAAAGTCATTTTAACGTTCTTGGGTCATTCGTGACTTGTCTGGGGGTGAGATTTGAACTCGTGACCTGTGAGAGGTATGGATTCGAACCACTACGCCGGGGTCGCTCCCAGGTGGCAACATCTGAAAATTACGTATGAACGTTGTTAACAGAGGACAGTGCAGTCAATAATCCATTACACACCCGTTAATCAACATAAAGTAGGGTTAGGTTGATGAGAACAAAAAGTTTATCCATATAGACTTTAAAGGGCCAGTGCAGTATGAGTTAGCATTCAAATAAGCTTAAATTTTGAGAGAATGATCAGGACCCGATTTGGAATCGATTGACCTTAGTGAAGCAACATCGATATTTTGAACCACCGCAGTGCGTAAACCTTGAAATTCTTCTCTCAAATATATTGGTTTTATCCATATCTAGAGTTCCTGCTAAATTTCTTCCTTTGGAATTTTCATATAAATTGCCATGATAATACTGAAAATCTTTTCTACGCTACACCGTATGAAAAAAGTCATGATTTAGCATATTTTTACACGATATTTCATGTTAATTTAAGCAAAATATCGCATAAATCTGCAATGTTGTATGCAAGTTTGCAAGCAATTTTGATGTTTATGCCAACTATAGCTCATAATTAACTGAGAGGAGATTTTACGCGACAGTTAAAATTCAGAACTTTTATCTGTGTAGCCTTCAACGATATGATAGGGTTTTTGATCATATTTCCGTCCTACTAAGCACAACGCGCACTTTACCTTTCTTTTCTGAACGAGTTTTAACTCAAAATGGAATAGTTCTGTCAAAGATGACTTCTAAATTTATTCACCTTTCCATAAGTACCGTTAGATTTGATAAAGAGTCACAATTTGTTGAGATATTGTTTAAAATCTAATACTGCTTCTTGATTCTAAATTCATTCTACGAGTTTCAATTCCGTCCAAACGCATTGAAACGCCATTAGATTTTCTTCGTCCTACGGATAAACGTAGAAAAAGGGGATTCGCTAGGAGCGCTTCTTTTGTTTTGAGAACAATGAGCGTAAATATTCATACAATGCGCTCTAAAAGGATTTATGTTGTAGCTAATGAACTAACGCATCGACACAAACCTATTTTTGATTTGTGCACGGTGAAGTCGTTGAAATTATTGATCTTTTCTGATCGATAGAACGGAAATGGGCGATTACGACGAAGTAACGCTCTACCCTATGCCGCTTGGAAACTTTTCCTACTTTTATGCAAACATTTCCACATCATTTGCCTTTTCTATTTAATTTTTCAGAAATTCGATATTTTCGATTACTGAGCTGTTTTTTTCATAAGGCAAGATGCCAAATCAGACCAAAACTTGTTTTTTCCTTCGGTTCGTTTTTCCGTCGATCTTGTTTTCCGTGCTGAGCACCAATGCTACCGACGTGCCAGGAAGGCAGCTCCCACACCTGGACCCTACCTATCGACCCATCAACTCATGAACCGGGGACCAACGGCTTTACTTCCCATCCGAAAGAAGGCGTGATCAGAGATGTTATGCCTCAGAACATCCCGGCGGCGCCGACTGGGATTGAACCCAGGCCTGCTGGGGTGAGAGGTAATCATGCTTACCACTACACCACCGGCGCCGTTAGACCAAAACTTTTGTAAAATGAAAAAGTGGTCATATGTCGAGATATTGAACTTCGAGATATGGAGAGTTTACTGCATGTATTTTACTAAAAAAAATGTGAATAATTTGATTATGTTATGAAATTCGATCAAACCATAAAAAAAACATTAAAACATATGACACTTTTAAGTGACGTTACAACGGTTTAGGCTGTTATTTTTGCAGTTTTTGTATTTTAACTGAATAAAATGACATGTAACCCCTAAATATTATTTCAGATTTGGAAAGTGCGTTAAATTTTCCATAATAAGTGATCAAGAGTTTCAAATTTGAGTAGCTCAAAACGTTTTCTTGAGTAGTTGTTGAATAGTGTAGCTGAGAAGTGCATAATGTTACAATGTCACGCAACATAGTCGCGCACCAAATCATTTTGAGCTACTCAAATGATTAACTTCTGATCAATTCTTGTCAAAAAAATTATCACACTTTCCAAATCTTTAAACATGTTTGACGGTTACCTTTCATTTTTCTCAGTTACAATCAGGCCTGAACATACTTATTACAGCTAAAATACTGCTTTTCGAAATTATGTAACTATGAGATATAATAATAATAATTTTTATATGTAAAATGCAAGAAGAGGAGGTAAAGTTTGTGTATGACACATAAAACCCGTTCATTTTTGTTTTCAGAGGGTCACAATTATAATAAGAAACTATCACAATTACACTAAGAAACTATCAAAACATCAGACAAATATATCCTGGTAAAATGTGTCATATAAGTATTTGTAAGTGCGTCACACACTATTATGCCTTAGGAAATAACTTATGTGCATTAAAAAAATTAAGGAATGCTAAAATAAAATACTAAAGAGACTTAATAAAAAAATATGCAGATATTTTTCTTTAAAAGCATTCAATTACGTACAACTTATGTCTTTATTGTTGTTTTTAAGTTATGATTGAAAACAAAATAAATGCTATTTTTTTTTAGAAACACATATCTAAAAACCAAGCCTTGAAAAAAGTGATAATATTTTGAACGATGTTCTAACATATGTGCAAAGTATCATTCAAATTTGAATGGGTCCATTACTTATTGAGGTTTTGGCTAGAAAAGTTGGACATACGAGCCTTAAGCAATTTTTCTATAACTTTTTTTTTTGTAATTTAATACCATGTGAAACAACACAAAACAAAATATTTGGATAATATCTATAAGGGGCAATAGCTGAGACATATTTTGAAACCTTCATGTTGATGGAATACCGGAGCAACCTGGTTAATTTTCCATTGAATCATAATATGCCTCTGTACCAAAATGTCAAATCCCATAGGTACCAGAACGTCATCATCGAAGACATGTTGGATTCAAACTAAAAAAGGGTTTTGACAGCTGTAGAATACCCTTGAATGTCCATCACGCTTCATACTGCCCATACATGCATAACTGCCCCATATTAATAGGAAATTAGGCAGCATAGGTCATAGAGTTACGGTCTACACGATCTGAACTAAGTATTATACATATCAACTTCTTACCTTGGACACTAAACTCGCTCGGTACGCCGCTAATGCTTTTAGGTATTCCTTTTTGGCAGCCTCGGTTTTCTTCTTGTACACCTGGAAATGAAAAGACGCGAAGACGATGTGAGTAGAGTTCGGTGTAATAACAGAGATAGCATAAGTAACAATCAAATAGACATAGACAAAACAAAAAAAAAACCAAATTGAAAAGAGCTCTTCTTCAAGCAATAAAAAAGAGATCAAGGAGATTGCAACAGCAGAAGCAGCAACAGTGAGTGAAGGCGGAACCGTGTACCTACATTCCCTTGTATGATTTATTGCCGTTATTAAATTCCTATTCCAATCTAAATTACTCCGCAATACTACCACATAGCATACAATACACATATGGCCGTATTTGTGAATAGTTCCACGGAAAACATGGAAATAATATCTAATGATAATGCTTTATGACAGTACAGAAGCTTTCAATGAATAGTAGGCGGATGAGCTGATTTGTGAGCAACAAGGTGTTTGTAGGAAAGTTTGAAATCCATTTTGTCTCGATCGAGACATTGACCGATTCTCTTCAAACTCATTTATATTGATTAGAATACTGACAGATGCAAATACATCATTTTGGACTACAGGAGGCTACGAAACCTCGATGGCATTTTGCCATCACTCACTTCACTCGTTGTCGTTTTTCTTTGCTTCATGCATAAAGGGTGTATTCGTCGAAAGTAGCACACACATATAATAACATTAAGGACAAGCTTCAGGGAAGCTTCATCTGCTCCACGACTTTGCGATTTCACATTTCAACAAAAAACATTTAAAACTGTTGCATCAAAAAATCGCATACAAATAACAGCCGTTTTTGTAAGTAAGCCATGTTCTACGAATACACCCTTTACCTGCTAGCGCCGGGTGTTCTCGTTTCTCAAAATCCATCGTTTGGGTTCTCATCAATTATGGAATTTTTCATTTAGAAAGCATACAAATTGCTCTTGCACCCAAAAAAAAAAAACAGGCATCCAACTACGTATATGGGTGCCATCGCATCGGTAGAGCAAGGGCTAAGAGTAGGAGAGTATGCGAACAGCAGCACATTGTACGTCGATTTTCAACTAAGAAGGTAAACAATCCAAAAATACTAGCTTCTGGAAAAAAGGATCCACTTTAGTTAGAGGAAAATTCGACTCTAAACAAGCTTATAAAGGAAGATAATTAAATGTTTGACCTGGGTGATGGTCGTTTGTTTTGATGAATTGTGTTCATTGGATTTCCGGCGTAGGTCAAAGGTTTATAGATGGTAGTGGATGATTTTTTGGAAACATAATCAATTTTATCAAAAGTGGAGGCGAATGAAGCAAATTCGATGTTGTCCATCTTATAAATGTAGATTTATAATTTAGAATCATTTAAATATACTATATAGAGAAAATATAGATCAAACACAACCACTAAATTGAATCGTCCTCAGTATCCACTATGAATAAATTCATTTCTCGTTACTTTGATCCGATCCACACATTACTTCGCTTTGGATTTTGCCTATGGCTAGTCATACCTCTTTGTTATAGTATGTAGTTGTGGGCTACGTGCACAAATTACGAAGCATGAGTTTACTGATCAACCAAGAGGGAGGAACACATGGTGCGAAGGCTATGTCAAAGCATCAGTTTTGCATGGTCCCTCACATGCATTGCCACATTTCCAGTCTTAATCCTTCTTCTCATCCAAGCGGTCCACCCACCATTTGTTGGCTGTTACAACGATGATGCGAAAATAAACTCCTCTGTTCTACGCCGGTAAAGTTTTCGTTGCATCCTCTGGAGTTCCGAATATGTACTTCACCCATCTCTAGCCATTTGTACTCTGCATCAATAACCGGCCCAGGGCGGGTGATGATTTATGCTCATGATTATTGTTTAAATTTTTGGCAATTAAAATGATTTATTTTAAATGGCGGTTAATAATTATCCGAAGTGCGTGCAAACATTTCACATGCGCACTCTTCCAGTTCCAAGGGCTTCATCATGGGCAGTCGGTTTTTATTTTGTAATTTTTCATATCCGCATGGGTTGGTTTTCACTTTCTCTTTTTTGCGTTTTACAATTGTATCTACTTTAAAAATTTCAATAAAAGATGCTACAATTTAATAGTGAAAGTGATTTATGGTCTTGTAACACGTTTTTTAAGACATTCATACTATATGATTCAATTGACTGGATAAATATTATTTCATAATCGAATATAAATCACAATATAAAAACACGAAATAACAAGCAGTTAGTAAAAAAAATGTACATATTGAAAATTCTAAATCGTAGAAGTCGAGAACCATCTTAGAAGGCATCAAAATATGAGTAGTTCCACGCCAAATGACGAATCGGAAAACCCCAACCTTTTCCGATTTGCATGAAAATCTGCATAATCGTTTGTTTTGGGCTATCATTCACAATTTTGCTAAAATTCAGCTATTTTGCATCTTGTGATTTTTTTCTTGGAAATTTTTAGAATATTGTAGCAAGTAAACGTCAAATCTGATATTAATGGCGTCTGATACAAAGTAGTAGACAAAATATCGACTTTATGGGAAAACTAGACACGGTAATTTTTTCAAAGTATTCTTTAGAAAACGCAAACTTTTGAAATGTTCAAAGTCATGGACACTTAAAAACTGACAAAAATCATTTGCTATAATAGCAATAGCATGAAATTTATGTTGAAAACTTATTGAACAAGCTAATTTTCTGATATTAGACACAATGGACACATAAAAATTTACCAAAACCGTAGCTTTGTTTTCATAAATCATTTTTAGTCCATTAAATCGTTTTATATGCACAAATATTGCGTGAAAAAAAGTTCAAAAATTCCACTCAAAGTTTGTTTTGTGATGTTGGTTAATTTTAAAATGTCCATTGTGTTCAATATCAGAAAAGTTAGCATTTTTTAAAAGCTTTCAATTAAGTTTAAGAGTAAAAATCGTAAAAATGCACTTTTATGATATTGAAATTTTAAACAGTTTTTTTTTATTATTTCTAGACAAAAAAAATTAGTTTGTATTTTTCTGAAAAGGCAATCCAGTTTCCTAAGACTTTGTCTCAGGCGGCATTTCGATTAGATGAATCGTTTTCGTGCTGATTTATTGAAACATACCGAATATGCCATTTTGAAAAATTGCATGAAAGTCAAAATGCCCAAATTTCAGCACAATTTTGGTTCATTTCCTCTAGTGAACAATTATACGAAGTTTCATGGAATTCTGAGAGGTTAAATTTGAAATTCGTTCATTTGTTTTGTTTTTTGGAGTATATTTACTCTATACACACCTGTCCTGCTGATCATGTGTGCTTTGCTTCTCAGTATCGGCTTTCTAATAAATAAATAAAATAGCTTAACTCACTAGTAGATTAACCGTAGCAAGAAAATCCTTATCTTTTAAGTAACATTATCAATATGAATATTTAGCAATATTTTTTTTGCATATGATCATATTTATGGGTATTGGAAACTTTTATTATTCCAAAATGAAGCACTTCATTCTGGAAAAAAAAAATATATGAACTTATGCAAAAATTGGTAAAGATTGATGATACTTAATGTGGTCGAGAAAACGGTTCCTAGTTTGCACGAAGATTTTAGTAAATTCCTATAAGGGGCTGTCCATAAACTACGTAGAAAGTTTTAGGGGGAGGAGGGTTTACAATTATCCACGGCCCATACAAATTTAAATTTTTTTGTATGGACATTTGTCTACGCTGGGGGAGGGGAGGGGGGGGTCTGAAGAATCCCAAAAAACTGTCTACGTAGTTTATGAGGTAATTTTCAAATTTAACTAATTTCGCTCTATCTTTGGTTTCAGTTGATAAAATGGTTACAGTTACTATTATGAACATATTCAATTTTTACAGAATTTGGACAACTGGAACCATAGTTAGAGTGATATTGATAATGGGGCTGTTCATTAACTACGTGGACAGTTTGTGTATGGACAATTGTCGATGCAGGGGGAGTGCGACCTCTAAACCTTCATCAATCTTAAAAAAATTGCACAGGCTCAAATTTTCGGGATATGAATCGAGCTGAAGGTTAACTGATTGAATGATTGAAAGGTTTTTTCAAAATGATGCACCCTAGTAGTCACTACAGTCATTACCCGATTTTGTCAGTCTCCTTTTTTAAAATATTTTCTTATGTTCTACGAAACATACGCTTATTCAGTTAGATTATTGCATCAAATTATACCTTAAACATCCATCTTGAAGATGAATGAGAAAGATTTGGAAAGATTGATGCCTCCGCTGACAAAAGCGGGTCATTACTGTAATTGAATATTTCTCGCGCAACACGAGAAAAGGGCCTATCATTGTTGATCGATTCTCTTCGTCGATTTTCTCTTTCACAAATAACCCGACTGCAAATGAATTTCCCATTGAGTGTGTTGTTTTAGGCGCAAGCTAACCTTATCTTCTGTCGAACTGTGCTGCAAGCTTAGCGAGCAATTCGTTTATGTTGTCGTGGTTAACCAAAGAGAAAGTCGATCAACGAGAATAGGCCCTTTTCTAATGTTACGCGAGATTTGAGTCAGCTTCAACAACACCAACATCAACCACGTTCTGTCAGTGTTTTCGTAGGCCCTTTAAATCGTTAACCATGCGAAAATGCACCATGCGCTGTCCAATGGCATCCTTTCCGGAATTCCCAAATATTCAAACCATGTTCATAAATCTTACATTCATTCAAATGTTTGGCAACGTTCGATACCTTCATCCACTCATAGTCGCAAGCCATTATCAAGAGAAATCATTTTCTGAAAAATAGTACCCTTGTCAGACATAAAATCTAACGATCACAAATTGGCAGATAAAATGAAATGATAGCATCGTGTTGTAGAAGAGCAACTCTCACTCGCAGAATGCGATGCCTCAAACAGACAAAATAGATAGAATGGGTGGGAATAGGAAAATCGACTTGCCACACATACATAAATATATATATTTATACCTACATACGTACTTGCTGTCGAATTATCAGTGGGGGCCTGTCGGGGTCGGGAGGAATGAGCTGGGTTTAAACGCAAAATTTTCTCTTAAAAAGCAATTCCA